AAGAACTTATGGCCCAAATAAAAGAATTATAAAGATACAGGGTAAAGTTTGCAAATAAAGATAGAAAGGGTAAGATAGTACTTTTATAGAAATCAATTTTATATTATTTAAAGACTTTGTGAAGACTTTGTGAATATCTGGTAGACTTCTCCTGAAATTCTTCTGGTAGTCTAGCATAACCCAAGCAAATATAAGAGGAAAAATTGAAAACCCAAAAATGAACAAGCTATATTCTTATATCCGTCTGGTGCATTTTTATGGCTTCTTGCTGTCCTTGCCCATTGTCTCATTTCCAGCTTCCCTTGTATATTTTTTGTTTAATTCCTATAGTTTTCGGTGTATTCTCTTTCTTCCATTATATGTCATTGTAGTTTGAAAAGGCTCGTAAAACGATGTCAGTTTTTTGCCCTTTTTGGAGCTCTTTTCCCTTCTTTCCTTTTAGCCTTCTGCTATACTCTTTTGTCCTTCCGTGTTCAATCATCTCAATCCCCCTCTAAAATGATCATATATTCACAACATGGCAATTTTGTAAAATGATTATTTTGTCAATCACTTTTGCTCTGGTATTTTCTTTGCTATAACATCTCAGTCACCACACAGTTTTCTAGCTTATGCACAAGTATTTCCTTCACAAGATAGGCCACCTTTCTTTCTCAGGAATGGGTTGCAGTCACAATCTTGTGTGTGGCCATAGACTTCGCCGTTTTGCCATTTCTTTTCTCTTTCTTCTAATTTCGAGCTCATCCCAGTTAAGAATATTCAATGGCGCAGAAGGTAAATTAATTAAACACAAAAATTCTTCACTCAACGAAAATTAAAAGATAAAGTTTGTTTCTTTTTGGATGCTGACAGGTAGAAAATTATTACAGAGGGTCGACAATTCCCAGGTAAGATTTGGGTAATTGTTTTTCGTCAATTTGTGTTTATTGTGTGTATGAACTTGAAGAAAATGAATTCTTGAATATTGTTTGATTGGGTAGGCAGTAAGCGAAGAGAAGGCAATATTGAAAGCACAAATCGGTTCGAGGCCGCCACGGTGCGAGAGGAGGTGCAGTTCTTGTGCGCAATGTGAAGCCATTCAGGTGCCCACGAACCCCCAAACAAGAAACGGAATCAAGACTTCATCCATTGTCTATGCTAGAACAGATGATCATTCCAACTACAAGCCCATGAGCTGGAAATGCAAATGTGGAAGCTTCATTTTCAACCCATAATCTTATCTCAATTATCGTGTATAGTAGAAGTTATAAATAACATTTTAGTATTAATCACCTCTTTATTTCTTGTCTTTCTAGCTACTTGTACTCTCTATTCTGGGAAAGAAATTACTGTTTCTTTTGTGGGCATCTCGAAGATTTCCCCATTATCTCATGTAAATTCTTTCAATAAAGCTATTTTGTACAAAGTTGAGTTATAAAAGTTGGGTTACAAAGTGTGTTGGCAAAAT